CTTTAGTTTCGAGATCATAAACACGAATATTCAGAGGATGAACCCCCCTTTCTGAAATTCATCGATATCTGCCAATTGATCTTCAACGAAACACTTATCTTCATTAACGGTCGAAACTTTCTCGCAGGTATTTATCAAATTTCTTATTGCTTCTGAAGTATGTGATGTCCCCTAATTCTGGAATGGGGGACTTCACATACTTCAATTTCTGTTTTCAATTCTTGTATTTGTTTTTTCAAATCTTTATTTTGTTGTTGGCTACATTCTTTGAATTTCCGAAGGTTAACATTGCATGCTTCTAGTATCGTCAGCTCAGCTTTCAAATTCGGATTTTCCCCACTCGAGTTCACCTACTTCAGTTTCGAGATCATAAACACGAATATTCAGAGGATGAACCCCTTTCTGAAGTTCACCGATATCTGTCAATTGATCTTCAACGAAACACTTATCTTCATTAACGGTCGAAACTTTCTCGCAGGTATTTATCAAATTTCTTATTGGTTCTGAAGTATGTGATGTCCCCTAATTCTGGAATGGGGGACTTCACATACTTCAATTTCTGTTTTCAATTCTTGTATTTGTTTTTTCAAATCTTTGTTACAAAAAATAATGAAATACAGGAAGTAGTAGCAAGTCATGAACAGGCAAAAAACGAATAGTCCTCCCACTCATTAAAATCAAGATTTTTGCAAATGGTTATCCAGCAATATGTTTATATGACTATGGATCCAATGTTTCTTCGGTTAGTAGTTTCTGAATGACAAAATAAATATTAAACAAATAATAGGTGGGAGAGATACTATTAAAGGTGTAGCTGGAACGGCGAAAACGGAGGGAATCGTAACAATACGTATTAAAATCTGTAATTTAGAAGAGGATTTTCAGTTTTTTATTGTTAAGGAAGGTATGGATTGTGGATTTCTATTAGGATTAGACCCAATAAAAAAATTCAAGCTCTGTCTGAATGAAAATTTGATTATATCACAGAAACAAGAAATACAAAATTTAGTTAAGCAAAATAACATTAATAAAATGAAAAATTTAGATAAGCAAAATAACATTAATGTAATAAGTACTGATAAAATGGAGAATATTATAAAAAAAAATGTTTGCTAAATCAAAGGTTGACGAAGGGACAGTAAAGGATTATGAAGCCACAGTGAAACTGACAGAAAATAGATATATTTCAAAGAAACCTTATAGATGCTCTTTTCAAGATGAATTAGAAATTGTGAAAGAAATGGATAATTTATTAAATGCAGGTTTAATAGAGGAGTCAAGTAGTCCTTATGCAGCTCCTGTAACCATGGTTTTCAAGAGAGAAGAAGAAAAAAGATCACACTTAAGTATGGATGTTTTGGCCATTTTGTTGCGTCCTTCATTTTTTCAGACTCTTATTTGTGATGTAAATCAAATATGTTCTCAAACTGATAAATACAAATCTCAGTAGCAATGGATTTTGGAACATTCATAAAAATGTTGTGATTTGGCATACATACATTTACTCCAAAACCAAATACAGATGATTGACGCAAATAATTAAAAATGTTGAAAGTTCTTATAGAATCTCAATGATGAGGTTTCAGCTGAGGCTGCGGCTGATTTGAATGAGAAAAAATTGCATAAAGAGGAGTTAATTACTCTCACTTCAGATCTGAAAAAATTAGATATTTTCTTACAAGGCACCGTAGAAGATATGTTCAATAAACTTCAGTTGAGTGAAGAAAATTATTCGTTTTATAATACTCTGAAAGAAGTATTATTTACACAAATTATTTTATTGAGTAGAAGGAGACCCACTGAAGAAGCACAGCTTAAGGTGCAAACTTATAAATTAGTTGATTTACATTCAAAAGAGAGTAATGAATTCGACGGTTGTCTCACAGAAACGGAACGAATGTTATTTAAATCGTACAACCGATTGGTTATGAGAGGTAAAAGAGAAAAAAAGTACCAATTTTGCTATCACAAAATATGCGAAAACATCTTGACCACTTGGTAAAATTGAGGGAAATATTTGTTAAGGATAATTAATATATTTTCCACACTAGTGGCAGAAACTTCATGAATGAAACAAAGATTTTACATAAATATACAATGAAGTGTGGAGTACAATATCCAGAAAGAATTACCTCAATTAAATTACGAAAGCATTCAGATACCGTTACCCAACTTCTTCAATTTACTAAAAAAGACCTGAAGCAACTCTCGAAATTCATGGGACACTCTCAATATACATTGCAATGTTTACAGATTATCAGACAATAATTATATTAGACTGTAAAGGTATCGTAACTGCTTTTATTTGCAAAGCAACGAGGAGTAGAATAATATAAAGGAATGAGACTGGACGATATTGACATCAATATGGATCCTGTTTTCGACGGGAGTATTATTGAAGATAATTCAGTTCCAAGAGTTATTGAGAGAATTAATGAAAGCAACATGTCCCAAAGGGAAAACTCTGAAGACGTACAGGAAAATAATGCACTTATGCCCTCGATCAAAAATAACAAAATCGTTCGAAGAATTCCACGGACAACAGAACAAAAGAAAATAATTTACACTTATTTCATGGATCACATCAAAAACAAACGAGCTCCTAAAAAACAATAAATTGACGAATTTATCACAGAATATAAGAATATGTTTCAAAATAGAAACTGGACGACAATAAAAGCTGCGGTATATAATATGTACACAGGAAAACTTAAAAATTAGTGGTTTAGATAAGCGATGAAAATATTCTAGGTTTACTCATACTGAGAACTGAATTCAGAGTGTTGTTTTTCATTTTTATTAAAAAATGTATTGTCAATATATTATTGTTGATATACTGAATGGATCTATTTGAAATTTCACTATGCATTGATTTTGAAAACAATATATTCATTATTCCATAACTCTTGTATGTCATATGGACATTTTAATTTGAAGAGGAACAACATAGTTGTTTAAAGTAGTGCATTTTGATAATAAATTTGGCATCACCGTAATGGTTCAGAATAATACTCTTCGTCACATGATTCTGTATATATTGGATCAGAATTGTATGGAATTTATGTACGGTTCAGAATAGATACAATTTATTCAATATATTTCAATCAAAATTTGCTACAGTCTGGAGAAACTTAGTCAGCGGTGAAAGAACAGGCAGAAAAGGACATAGAAATGATAAAGACTGGATTCATCATAGTGACAAATATGGAAAATAATCATGAAATAATTCAAATTCATTGAAGCTAATACATGAATTGAAAAATGTTCCAACCTCAACTTAATTATTCTAAAACAAAAACACTCAGTATTCAGAATTCCATCTTTTAACATTCCAAGTTCATAGACATCAAAATTGATACGAAATATAAAACAATCTCCGAATACGCAAACTTTGCACAGATTGCATACTGAGCATTTTACCTTAGTACAGTGACCGGATTAAAGTTGCAATGTCAGCGTATAAATCTTCATAAATATTGAGGGAGGTCAAAATCATCAATAGACAGTATTGAGAAATTCATTCAGTATCTATTAATCTTTAGAAAAGGTTCCAGCAATGCAGCACATCTCTTTTCGAACCTGCTGGTTGGCAGTATAATGCAAGTTTTTGGTGATTTACTGTATATTTTTTTTAACATTTTAGTGTGAATTTATTTCTGAATTAACTGAATAACATTTTCAATTGTATTTATATGTACATTTCGATCAGATATTGTAGAATTCTGAAAGATATTCCCAACCAAGGTAACACTCATTGAATTTCATGATAAAAAGTAATTTAAAATATGGAACCAAAATTTTTTAAGTTATATCTGTAATTGAGTGAAAATAATTTCAAGGACTAGGCACATATTTGACTTGACAAACGATAGACCAGGTCATGTGGCATATTAGCCACTGGATTAGAAATAGTGATTCAAAACCTCTCTCGCGGACTGCCAGGTAACGTGGGGGCACATTATTACCAGATGCTCCAATCATTAAAATAGAAATTGTCGAACCGGAAAACACCCACCATTTCTGAAAAGGATAACGCATTCATAGTCATCTATCCTTGTCAAAAACACCAGATCGTATGAAAGCATAGCGGTAGGTACCCCGGCTTTCAAGAGAACATATACAGTCCAAAAGAGGAAAGAAACACTACGTGTGAGGGATGAACAAACCATAATTTGTATATATTTTATTGGATTAGCTTTCACAGGCTTACCCATCATGAGGTTTAATTGCCATCATAGGTACTTGTGGTGCCATCATAGGTGCTCGTGGTAGCTTCATAGGCACTGATGGTGGCATCGTCATGTGAGATGGTAGAACATTGAATCCTACCATCATTTGAGGCATTCCACCACCAGGTCCCATCATCATGTGAGGAGGCCCTGTCAACATAGGATGCATTAGACCGCCGGGATGCATCAACATAGGATGTATTGGGTGAACAGGAGTCATCGCTGTAAAACAAGAATATCATTAGTATAAGGAAGTCATTCAATGAAAAAATCAATAGATAATTATCGTAACAAAATAACTAACACTACTTGAATATTAAAATAAAACTTCGTACATTCTGAAAAATATCTAGGTAATGGATAGGATATAAATAGTAACTGTCTTACCTCCTACTGGCGCGAACGGGTTCGATGCCTTTTGATTGGCTCTGAAAGCAGCAGTTGTAGCATCAATCATTTTCTGGGTTTCTTCATCCTTCAGTTTCTGATAAAAATGTTTCACGTTATCAATGTGTTTTCTACCAGAAATGTGCGTTTTTCTAACTGTAGGGGAATCATGGGTTAGGTACGTATCACAGTAATCACAAAAGTATTTTGGCATTTTTCAACCTCGATCTCAAAATCACAAATTCTGGAACTAAATTATCACCACACAAGTTTACACTTCAGGAATTCAGCTAGTTCACTGCAGAGAGACTGTTTACTTGTAATGTTCCTTTTGATTCATGATTTCTCTTTATATAATACTCAGGTACATCTCAGGTACCATCATAGGTACCAACCCTCTCTCTATTCTATATCCCATATCTCGATATACGAAAAAACTAGGTAGAAGAATCCAATGTCAAAGGGAATATGTCCAGGTAGTATAAACTTGATAAAGGAGAAGTAACATTCAGACTACTAATATCGTAAAGGAATATTCTCCAGAAGAAATTAGTTTCTGGGAAAGAGCTTTTTTGTTTTCTAGTTATCCAATTCAACATAAAAAATTTGAGAAATTACAAAAAACAAAGAAAATAATCATCTCCGAAATAAACTGTTCGAAACAATGTGAATCGCTTTCATTTATTTCATGTTCCGCATTTTCTTCCTATTAAATGAACAACTTTCATTCTCAACAGAAGGGATAATATGCGACGCATGGAATTAACACGTGTCATATTTCTATGAGCCTCTGGTGTATTTGAATCCATATAGGGTAGTGGGTGTTTTGCAACTAACAGCTTAAACGTCTTCAGCATCTTTCTCAGGAGTCCGATAGAGATGTTGATTTTTTTTTGTGATTTTTGTCAATACGGTCGAAAAATATTCATTGTACATATTTATTTGTTTTCGATTACAGTACATTCGCCGAAGATACGTGTCTCTAAGCTTCGCCCTCTGGTTTCCTGGAAAAATATGTTATATAAATTATCCCATTTCTTGGAGATTTAAAAATGATCGGGTTGAATTTTTTCATATTCTACGGGAATACATATTTCTTTTATTCTCGCATTAGCACGAAAGTTCCGATTGAAGTACAGGTCGAATGATTTTTGCATAAAAACTTGGATTTACGTTTCATTTACCCCTCTACATCAAAGATGACTCTTTGCCGCTTAAGAATAAGTCTGGAAGTAGACAAGTGGAAGCAACTTTTCAATCATGAATTTTTTTCTGAGAGAACAATTTTCAACGTTAAGAAGATTTCCATTTTTACGCGCTCTCAAAAAAGTTCTATATAATAGGGGAGAGTGGGTACAATTGTAACAATATTAGGATTTGATTTTTTCTTAAAACAACTACTGCGCTACTACATATAAGTGGCATCGTTGTATGAGTTGGGTATAATATCTATGTATGTTGTGAATTTTGAAACCAGAAATATGCATATTTTGCTCATCTGAGAAGTGTTACAATCGTACCCACCAAGAGAACAGTTGTAACACAGGAATTGTAACATTATCTGAAATACTGTCATCGCACAGGACGATGCTAATGTTTTTATTAAAAATAGCGATATTCAGTTCCAACTTATTCATTGTTATACGCAAACAATTGAAATTTTTAATCACTGTCATAGTAATCATCATCACAATTAACACAAAAAAATCAAGACGCAGCTTATGTGCACAATCTTCATGTACTCACTTTTTATATTTGTGACACTGGATCCACGTGGATGACGATGACTCTTCGTACTTTTTGAAGCCATAAGGACACATTGATTTTTCTTCATCTGTGTTATCGCAGATTTTTATTTTGTCATTTCTCGTTTCTTTCGATTTCCGTTTGATTTTTGTTTTTATTTTCTTCAACTTTTTTTCACTATTTTTTGCTCATTTTTTAGATTTGTGACACTGGATCCACGTGGATGACGATGACTCTTCGTACTTTTTGAAGCGATGAGGACACATTGATTTTTCTTCATTTTGTGGCATCCGAAGTTTATCAGTGACAGAAGAGGGCGCATATTTGATCATCTCTGGAAATATCCCCATTAAACGGCCAAATACCAGACACCTTCTCGTAACTTTTCAACATAACGAAAGAGTGTGACGTGGCAAAGGTTAAATTCTTCCGCTGCTTGCCGTATGGGTATGTTCTATTCCGTAACACGATTAGCAGATTTTTTATAAGTTCGTCGTATGATCCTCTATTAGTTTTTCTAATTTTTTGACGAGGCATTGTAATCTAAAAATTCGAATTAACATTATGTCACTTGGGGGTACATTTGTAACATTTGTAACATGTTACAAATGTACCGACATCACATTATAGGAAACTATGCCAAACAGGTAAAGAGCACATTTGCTAAAACGAGTTCTTTTGTTTCATCTATCTAATAATCAATTTTTGGTAAAAGGAAACCAATTATTACCCATAACTGCTTGCAGCAAAATTAATTGAACTCCATTTGTTTTCAGGTATTGCATCACCTACTTGTTGTTGCTGTACTGTTCATAAAAATGGTATGTGATAAAATATTTCTAAGGGTTCAAACAAACTTTTAAAAGTAAAACAAAATATTTTTCCGTGTAGTATATGCTACCCTGGAAGGAAGAATGTCAGAATTTTTATATTTCTCCTATAGCGTTCATCAACCCAAATTCGTGCATTATTGAGTTGTAACGTTATTCTTTCCAGAATATGGTGTGTCAATGTGTATGATCATCTAACTATTCCAACAGTCAGATAGCAATTAATATTGAGGGATGGTGTGTACATAAATACACATTAAATACACATTCAGCAGGTATGATGCAAAGAAGAAAAGAATATTTGGCGGACTGAAATTAGCTGAAGTTCTGCTCGGTAAGAAATTAATTTAAATTGGCAGATATCATGATATAGAAATTATATAATATTCAATATAAAATAGCTGCTGAGATTTCAATAATAATAATGTTTATTCACAGAAATACAATTAAATTCACCTAACATGAAACAATTTGTGAGTAATCATTGAAAGTTGCAACAATATGCAACTTTTATGTGATAAAATCAATAAGTTTAAAAAGTAAAGATGGGATAAGCTGAACGTATACTCTAAAATTGGAATGTTCAAAATACATACCCAAACTTAAACAAAGACTCAATAATAAACATATGGGAAGAGTAAGTATTATTGGAGCTTTTTCCTAACACCAAATCGTTGTTTTTAACACCTCGACACGTGTTTCGATCACCAAGTGATCATCTTCAAGGAATCATTTTTTATTATGTCTGGTAAAATTTCAAAAGATTATGGACTTTGAAAGAGATAATCTTGTTGACCTACTGATTCATTCATGAAGGGTAAAATATACTCACGTTGACTACATTATTTTGACACTTACTTGTTACATATTGTAACGGAACGGTAATAGGAACAGTAGGGACTGTATACCGTTATGATACTTAACAAAATGTTAAATTAAATCCCTCAAAGACGACTTACCTTGAGTGGATTGCGGCTGTCTCATCAGAGTCCTGAGATTGGTACCAGTTCTTGTGGTCGAAGCGTTGAACTGGGCAGTCGAGAATGGCGGACAATAAAGATTTNTTGGAAAATTTCAAAAGAAAAAAAAGTAATGATATGAAACTAGTGCAGATTTTGAATTATATTTCACAGTTTAATTTTGCAATTGTATATAACCCGGGTGAAGATAATATTGAAGCTGATTGTTTGTCTAGAAATCTGGTTTCGAAATCACACAAGGATACAGATAATGATTCTGTGATTAAAACTTCGAATTTATTGAAATTGAATGATATCAAAGAAAATCAGAAATTCTTAAAAGTTGATGATAAATACATTATTGAAGATGATATAATTTATAAAAATTATAACTTTCACAATTATTGCTATCGGAACTTAATTTTTTTTCTAAAATCATCCACATGCTATTCCAAATCGGATGACACATAGTTCATATTTTTCCGAGACTGCTGAAAAAAGTTGAGCGAAAAAGAGCACTTGTGAACGAGACCAAATGGCAGTAATACTATTTACATTGATTTTTTTTCATCAGATATTTCTGATGAAAAAAAGTTGATAAGTTGAAATTACAAATAGAAAAAATTATAAAGACAGACGAGATTTCTGTTTCTTTTGTGAAAAAGATATTTCTCACTTTGCAAGACATATGTTTACTTGGCACGGAAGTGAAATTGAAGTTCTGAGAATTTCGTCGTATGAAACTAATTCCAGAAAAAGAAAAGAGGCATTGTCTGCTTTGAGGAAAAAGGGAAATTTTGTCAGAAATCGAACCAACGATAAATTGAGATTTGTAAAAAGAGTACAATCAGAAGGTAAACCTGTGGCATCAGAATTTTCTCCATGTTCTCACTGTGTGGGATTTTATGAGAGAAAAAGCTTGTATAGGCAAACGAAGCGATGTTTAGAAAATGTAGATTTGAATAACAATAGGAGGCAGAGATCTCAGAGTTAGGGTCAAACATAACTTTCTCTGCAACTATAGTTACTCCTATTTTAAAGGACGGAGGAGAAAGGGAAACTTGGACGTTGTACGCCAGTTATTGATATTTGCCAAACAGAAAAATTCTGAAATCAAGGAATTGATAGACATGTTGCGTCCTTCATTTTTTCAGACTCTNTCTGCAACTATGGTTACTCCTATTTGAAAGGACGGAGGAGAAAGGGAAACTTGGACGTTGTACGCCAGAACATGAGGAGATTGGCTAAGTTATTGATATTTGCCAAACAGAAAAATTCTGAAATTAAGGAATTGATAGACATGTTGCGTCCTACAGTAACAATGAATTTTGGAACACTCTTAGAGAAATGTTGTGATTTGGCATACATATATTTACTCCAAAAACCGAATACAGATGATCGACGCAAAGAATTAAAAATATTAAAAGTTCTTATAGAATCTCAATGGGCTGATGAGGTTTCAGCTAAGGCTGCGGCTAATTTGAATGAGAAAAAATGGAATGAAGAGGAGTTAATTCCTCTCACTTCAGATCTGAAAAAATTAGACAATTTCTTACAAAGCACCGCAGAAGATATGTTCAATAAACTTCAGTTGGATGAAAAAAATTATTTGTTTTATAATACTCTGAAGGAAGTATTATTTACACAAATTATTTCATTGAATAGAAGGAGACCTGCTGAAGTGGCACAGCTTAAGACGCAAACTTATAAGTCAGTTGACTTAGATGCCAAAGAAAATAATGAATTCGACGGTTGTCTCACAGAAACGGAACGAATGTTACTTAAATCGTACATCCGATTGGTTATAAGAGGTAAAAGAGGAAAAAGAGTACCAATTTTGCTATCACAAAATATGCG